AATATACCAAGGAGGTGAACGAAATTGCCGGCACCTCCTGGACAGTTTATTTGGCAACGTTACTCAGTGAAGCACGGTAAGGCACAAGGACTTCGCTTGAGATCCATGTACTATTTGGTCAATTGATACGATACCACTTCCCTTCGCATTCTTTCTGGCAATCCAGCAATAAAGAAAATCTATTGCGGTTCCCGGCACATCCACCGTAGACGAATGGCATACATGTTTGCTGATCGGAATCGTATCCGAAACTCAGAATGTACGCGAGGCATCGTCCGGTTTCCTTGGGAAGGTACCAATAATCTGACAAAAACGGAAAAGCGCAACTTGATTAAAGGAATGCGGTTTACCTTTAATTTATGTACGTGATGTGTGGATCTACACGAGAATGAGACGTATTGAGTCGCATTCATGCTTATATTGGGAAAAACATTAGATGCACGGAATCACTGCTTCAGTGATCCGTCGCGTGTCAGTCTGATGTGCGAACGTTCTAATGTCTAGGTGAGATATACCTAAAACCATGTCGATCAAGATGACAACGCTACAGCGTGCATGGCTTTGCGTCCCTTCCATTGTGACGAACGAGTGCTACTTTTCCTCTTCTCTTGCGCAACCATGCAACCAGTTACTGATCTGTGAGACAGTGCGATAAACTAGTTCATCGATTGAATGCTACTTTTATTGACAGTGAGCGTGCCGACTTAATTGTTTGTGTGGAATATTTGGTCCAACAATTAGAGACTGATTGTCTGCAGGTGAAACACTGAACGAACAAACCGCTATCGGATTGAGTTAGTAACAGGCCTATCTACATAATGAACTCACCCGGGATTGCACCCTGGACATGAAGGCAAACCAAAGAGAAAATTATGGTCAGGGCGAAGACAGCACTCATTTAGAAATGTGTAGCAAACTGCACGTTACCTCACTGTACCAACTGTTTGTTATATTATATAGCATAATAAATTGTTTACCAATATCTTTGAGTTTCATGTGCCGGTCGTCATTGCATTCAATGTTACATGTAAACACTTCATGCAGATTAGGGGAAACGCCCTTTTCTAGTTCTTCGCAATCAACCGTAAGCATTTGTCAGGTTTCTCATGGGTTCCACTTGCTGACCGTTGTCCTTAGCTTGCTTACCCTAAAGATTTCTGTTGCTGCCGGTTGAAGCTAACATATTATACTTAATTCCATTAACTAGTTTTAATACGCTCACTCGCTTCCAATGATTTGTGTTAAATCTCGGAGCGATTCACCGGCAAACCCTGGGTTTCGTGTTATTTTGCGCTAGATTTGGAATGATACACGTCCTACTTTTCTCCCTCGGCGTCTTCGTACAATGTATCTCCTCTCTTTCCGTGCATTCACGGTCCAAATTCAGATACTGCAATGATTTTTCTGGGTTATGTTGTTGCAAGCTAATCTATTGCATGTGTTCAATACTCTAACTCATCCCATCAGGATGGGGCGGGTGTGGTTGGATATTTCAGCTAGACACTTTTAGACTTCTCGCGTTACTCTGCAAAAGTTCATTGACACAAATGCAAAACTGTTGATGAATGCACACATAGTACATTCATAATTTGCTGCGAATTAGTAAGCAAGCCCTAATGTAGCAAAAAGGACGTGGTAGCACAACACAATCTTTATTGACGCGATCACCAGCTATAGCACCAGTCACGCAGGCGTGCATTAATGAATCACGTTTCCTTCCCAGGACGCACCAGCTCTCCTGGATTCCGCTCGCGACACCATGCATTTTGGGGACCTAGTAGTGGAGCACTTCCTGCCAATTTCACCCCGTATCGCGGCTTATATGAGTTCCATTCTGATCGGCCCGGAGTTTTTCGATAGCTCGTGAGCTGCTTGACCGTGGATGCACCATTCTGCCTGCGGTGGGTCCGGGAGGCTGCAGTAACTGTACTGATGTCTGATTTATTGTCTTCTGGACGAATATTCTCTCTGTACTGCCTGTGACAAGCTCACTACCGGGCACCGCTCATGACCCGTTCTCGTCTCGTGCCGTCAGGCCAGCGTGGTTCCGTCTGTCCTCGCGCGTTGCGCCAGTTCCTGTTTCCGTCCGCCCCCATTTTCGTTGTATTTCTTCCCTCCGGGCAATCACTGCCTTCAGCCTGCCTAACATATAAGCCTATGTATTGTAATCAAATATTCATCCACCTAATCCAATTTTTCTACCCGTTTTCCATACATTCTCTTCATTTGAATTGAGGGAACCTGCATATCCTAGTAAGAAATTGGCGGTGGGCGCCTGATTACTTATTTCATTTCAGTTGGTTTAACAGGTGTGTATTCAAGCAACTCGGGCACTGAAGGACTATTCGTTTCAGTGACATTTGAACAGATTGAATCTACTCAGCAGCACGAAGCAAGGATTCTGGAAAGGAGTTGCTTCTCTGGGGAATTTAATCGTAGCTCGTGAAAGTCTTGCTGATGCAGCCTCACGAGCAAGGACTTTCCGCATGGCGCCCTCTGCACCGTTCGTAACTGGCTTGGCAGTGGAAGATGAGCCGCGTTATATCATAGTCAAATGTCAATCACGAATGCCTGCGACTGTCGCCCATGGCGAAATGACACTACCTGCTGGCATGCTGAAGTCATGGGGGCGGAACGCGGCAGTAGTCCGCTGGGAGGCTCAAGAATAACGAGACCCAGAAGGTCGAAACGCCGACGTCTGGTGCTTTTCCAGACTAGCCTAAGTCTGCTCATTGGGAGTGACAATGATGAATTGGCTGAAATATGAAATTGTGCAGTTAACGCTTCGGCTGGGTGTATGGCTGCTACCAGTAGTGATTTCGGGTAAATGTTATCCGCTCCAGGAGAGCTGTGTGTACGCACGGATAGACTTTATTTAGCACTATTTTTGCTGAATAAAAGTGTCACTGCAGCGACAGAAGCAGGACTAGCGTGCGTGTGGTATGTAGGAGTATGATGGGTCCGTGGATACCCACCTAATGAATTGAGTGATGAGATTCCGCGTTGTACATCCTTAAGGCTGTTGACGTGTTGGTAAAGAATCTTAGGTCTCAAACGAAGTCATTTCGCTGGCTTTTGCCGATACGTTACCTTGCCCTCACAAGCAAACTGCACACAGTATTTGCGGTGAGCTGCGTACGAAGTCCAATTATCGGAGCTGGGATTACATCCTATTAAAGCGCACTGCCCGATTCCTTAGGGCCAAAACATTTATGTTTGATTTTTCAGCAATAAGGTTGGTTTGAGGGAACGATAACAGCTTTCTTATCTGCGGCTTTCGCGACTAATGACGTGTAGGTTTTGTAGGATGTTCACCAGGCTTATTCTGAAGTACTATCTGTAATTAATGATGCGATCTCCTCATAGATGCAAATGATCTAATTATGTCGTCTATGTAACGACCGCAGCACAGCACGCTGTTGATGGCTTCGCTCACCTGATTGCTACGCAGGTTACTCTTGAAGACTTTCGCAAGCAATATCTATAGCAATGTACATTTGGTAACCCGTCTACATCTCAATATAGCGTTCCGTTAAAATTAAACTGAAGGTTTCTCGTACACACCAGTTACATTTGTTTCAATCGGTTTGGTGGGATACCGACATCGATGTAGTGCACCTGGATGAACTCGCGTAAATAGTTTCTTATCTGTTGCAATGGGTCATTGGTGAAAAGAGACACCGCATCTACTGAGCACATAGTTTGTTCGGCTAATTCAAATTACTTCATTGAGTAATGAAAATCAATGGTGTTCTTACCACTGTAATTGCCCATGGCTTTTCTAACTGGTTACCACTATTTAACGATCCAGTTGGTCTTTAATTGGGACACCGTTTTAAACACACCAAATATCTACCTTATCGGTCTCCCTTATGTGGCTTTGTTAGAAGTAAAGCCTTGGATTCACTGTTCCACTCAATCTGGTATATTCTGATATTTTAGAGTCCATTACATCCTCAGGATTTAAGCGGCGTAGATGTTTCGTTATGGACCTCTCGAATGTTACTGTCGTGTCATTCTCGTTATTCATTCTTCGAAATTTTGTCCTGCCAGAAAGAATTAAATCAACCTTGCTGACGTAGTTCGATCTATGCGACAGAAAGATCCCGGCACTTGTGTCCCCTCAATTCTGCAGGATACAATCATTTTATACTACTTGTGAGTAGCAGGAATTTCTTGTACTTTTGCTGAGGTTTTCCAACCCAGTAGTTCACAGGCTATAAAGCACAGCGAAGTCCAGAAAAGCACCAGACGCAATCCAACTTATTGGGGCTTGTCAGTGGTGCGCATTCTCTCGGTCCACTACTAAGGATAGAAAACATGAGCACTAGAGGTAGATGCCAACTAGCCAGCAGCTTAAGGCACTGAGCCATGGGGAAAGTTGCCTAGGCAACATAATTTCCAAGCGATCTGGGATTCAGCATTACCCATTTCCACGACCACGCAGGTTAATACCTTAACAGATGACAGTGCCTATCCCTAGTAGGAGACAAAGGAAATGCGCACCACTGACGACCCTGATAGGGCGAAACGCGTCTGTTGCCTTCGGGACTAGGCTAGATTAGGATCACGACAGGCAACGTTTGTTACAGGGGTTAAAAACCGTTTCCAGGGTCAATTTGAAGCGCTCGTGGTGTGAATTAATAGGAGAGACCTAATCTAAACTTAAAATCGCGATTCACATTAAAGTGACGCTTGGTGAATTAGATCAATGTGAACAAAAGATTAATTGAGTAGGCAACGGTTAACTTTAGTTTTATTCGTGGTCTAAATTGAAATCGTTGGTTTTAATTCATTCCCACGACGCATACAACAAATTTCATTAAAATAAATCAACAGCCTTTTTGTCAAGCGTTGTCAATTGTTATCCTGTGACTATAGGTTTATCTTCCACAAGTAATATACAGAGACTCATCGGCCCTAAACGAACAATTGCATGCTAAACGCCATGGATAGCATTGAATTAGGGCCAGCAAGCCAGACATACCACTGTTCATCAG